TTAGCATGTGATAAGTTAAGCAAGGTAGAAACAAAATGAACAGGCCTATTAGGCAGGCGGTGCTGCTTTGCTAGACCGATTAGCAAATGCTTTCCTTTCTCTGCCCAACTCTATTCACCTGCTTGTGTCTCTGCTGAAATGCTGCCTCTTTTGCCCTCCCCTCCCAGTAATGACTGGGTGCTAGCCCATCACAGTGTTAATTAATAAAGGACTTAATTGTATAATGGACTGTGACTGCATGGCTGAGTCAGAGAGGACAAAAAGAAAACAGCACGGCCTTCTTTTGTGATGAGCTGGCCAAGTGGCTACTTGAGCTAAGGGGATAATTATAACAATGATATTACAACCACTCCATTTAAAACTGGTCCATTATTAAGTTTGATCTTAATGATCAGAACCTAAATACAGCATGCAATTTATACACATTTTGCATATTTGCTGTCATATACGGCACTTTATGGTTTTGCTGTTACTTGAAACCTTAAATTATATGATCATGTGACACTTAATACACAATCTCCAACGCTTGTTTATTTAAAGCAGGGAATAAGATAATGAGATTCGACCCTGACAACAGTATAAAAATAATCAGGATGTGAAATAGTTTTGAAAAACTATGGATAGACAGAGTACTGTGACTATGGAGCAGCATGGACGCATCATAGAAATACAAATTAATGACAAACATTAGTGTCTTTGTTTTCTTTTTGTTTATCTAAAAATGCTCTTGGCCTTGTTGCACATTCTTAAACTTTTCCCAGCGGTTTATGCACTGAGCTACATCTTGCAAATATGTAATGTGACAATGTTAGAAGTCGGACACTCGAGCAGAAACATCAGCAATCTAAAGAAGCTAAGCTGGCTCCTGATTAAGTTTTGCTTGGGTTTCACTCTCAGATTGGACAGTTCTGAATGCAATTCTGTATTTTCAGCAAAAAATTCAAACAGAAAATAGTGGTAACATGACAAAATAGTTGATTATTACATGTGCAGTTTCTTCACCGTCAGGTTTCAGTTTGCTCCTGCCTGAGGTAGCTTGTAGAGGTTCAGGTGTTGGAGGCATTCAGCCGTCCTGAATAAGTGCAACTTTTTATGTTGTTAAAAAAGGCGTCAGTTTTTGTTAGCAAAAATGTTTTCTGCCATTGGCCATGTGCTAGAAAAAAAATGATGGGAAAAAACAGATATTGCAGTTATCAAGATGTATTTTGCATAAAACTTTTTTTTCCAGTGCTTTTTGAAGTTGATTTAAGCCTGTAACCTTTTTTTTTTTTACTGTTTTTACATCAGTTCATTGACTGTCAGTAGTTTTCTCTGTCCCAGGTGCATACACGGGGCTGAGCTTGGAACAACGAGCTGACTCTCTTTTTTTCTCCTGTTCAGAGGTAGTTGAATCTAGCTCTGCTTCAGTTGAATTCGTGCAACAAGGCCTGTCAAGCAGCCTGACAAACTCATTCTTGGCTAGCGGCGCTTGTTCCTGTCTGATGAAAATGTTACACTGCTCTCTCATTCTCTGCCTCGGCCCTCTATTCCCGGAACACAGCTCTGAGTGGGTGGTTATTCTGTCATCATTTTGGAAGCGCGCGTGCACACACACACACACACACACACACACACACACAGAAGCTCAGACTCTGTCCATCCAAAGTAATTTTTTTAACTAGTGTATTACTATCTTCGGCTGCTGGCCTAAAAGCCTCAGAGAGGACATAACTCGTAGCCACTATTTATTTATTTTATTTTGATAAAACATCTTGATTAAAGATAAAGATAGTCCCTGCCAATGACGCACAAGTCTATTCATCCACAAATGCTATTTTCAGAGTGGAAATTGTACGTCGGCGGTGCGTGTTTGTGGACCTGCATTGCAAAAACCAACCGATCTCAATTCACAAGATTAATGAACTTAATACAACAGCTGTCAGAGCCTATAGAACTTCTGACATGATGCCATTGCACGCTCCAGGTAAGAACAGAGATTTAGAATTGTTAATGCATTATATTTACCCCTGCCCCAGATCACAAATTGGTTTTCAATAGTTCTTTTTTTCTCTCTCCCCGATCCACTTCATTCCGCTGTCTGAGGCAAAAGCAAAGGGTCATTTCCTGACAAGAGCTGATGATTTCTGTAATAGAACCAGAGGCGTTGAAACGCAGTGCGATTAAATAGATTCCAATGGTCTGAATTTACTAAGGGTCCAGTCACAGACAAAGCCCAGTTGGTAAGTTGTACAGACAGGTGTACTGCTGTTTTGAAAGCTGCAAAGAAAAAGCAGTGAAAAAGAAAAGGGGGCAGATAGGAGGGCCGTCTAGAGAATAGGGGCTCAGTCAGATGGTGTTGAAAAGAGCCTCCACCTGAACGCACCGCTGCATCCTAATAACTCCTCAGCCACAGAAAAAAACACCTTATGCTCTATCTTTCCCCTCTTTCCTCTGTTTCACTCTTTATCCGAGCAGCTGTGAAGGGCACACACCTGGCTGCCATCCATCTGGCTGCGTGTGTGCACATGTGTATTGATGTGAGTCTATTTAAAGAGGTCTTGTGGTGGGTTTCTGGGTTTGATTGCTCTCACAGCCAGTATTGTGTGTGGATTTGGCTGCCATGGCAATAGCTACGCATGTACAGTACAGTGTGACCAATCACCGGGTTACAGTGCTGCTCATAAGCTTCATGTGGAACAGGCTCCCATCAGATGGACGTCAACTCTCTACTGTGTGTGTGGAAAGTAAACAGGAAGCACTTTATCTCAACTTATGCTAATGTACCTTTATGCAAAGCACACACACACCGATCAGCCGCAGCATTAAAACCACTGACAGGTGACGTGAATAACATTGATTATTTTGTTACAGTGGCGCCTGTCAAGGAGTGGGATATATTAGCAGCAAATGAACCGTCAGTGGCTTGGAAGCAGGAAAAATGGGCAGCATGAGGATCTGAGTGACTTTGACAAAGGCCTAGATTGTGATGGCTGAACGAATGGGTCTCCAACACAGCAGGTCTGGTGGGTTGTTCCCAGTATGTAGTGGTTAAAAAAAGTGCTTCAAGGAAGGACAAGCGATAAACTGGCAACCGGATTATGGACGCCCGAGGCTCATTGATGAGTGTGGGGAACGAAGGCCGGCTCATGTGGTTCTGTCCCACAGAAGAACTACTGTAGCATAAATCGCTAAAAGGCTTAAACCTGACCATGATAGAACGTTGTCAGAACACACAGAGCAGTGCAGCTTGTTGCATATGGGACTATGAGTTCCAATTCTGACCTCTGTTCAGCCTGCAAGCGCCTATGATGGACACACAAGCATTTCACCATGTGGTGCACTTGCCTTGTTTACCTGGTGAAGAAATGCTAGGAGGGTTTATTATGGGCAGAAGACAAGTTGATGAAGCAAGTGTGATGCTCTGTCCGATGTTCTGCTGGGAAACCTGGGGTCTGCAGACCACATGCACCCTTTCATAGTATTCCTGAATCACAGTGACCAATGCTCGCTGCCATACTCCGAAAATTAGCAAGAAATATGACAGTTCAAAGTTGACTTGACCTTTGAATTACTCAGTCTGCTCAAGCATCTGTCAGACGTGCTGCAAAAAAAAAAAAGGGTTTATCCATGGAGGAACCGAAAAGGATCTGCTGCTGGTAAAACTACACCTTTAGAGGTCTTGTGGATGCTTCAATGGGTCAAAACTGTTTAGCACAAGGGAACCAACACAATATTAGGAAGTGGTGGTTTTAGCATTGTTGCTCATCCTCGTAAAGACTTTATTGTAGAGATGCTTCCTCTTTGAAATGTACAGGGAAAGAATCGGACTCCTCTTTTCTGGGATACCAAACTATTTGGAAAGATCAAAGATTTTGGTTTCAGCACATGTACTCGGTTACGGTATGCTGACTTTAGCTACAGAACCGTGGTGGGCGCTGAACCATTGAACAGACATTTTAACACATTATTAAATCTTTACCAGGTTATCCAGTAGCCAACTTGAGAAATGCACTGCCAGTTCTTTGATGCCTCTGGTGTTTCCTCTCGACCATTGGGCTTTCTCTCACACCTCTTTCCCCCATCTGTTTGCCTACAAGGGCAAGTAAAATACACAAATTCTCTTCCTTTAGTTATTTTTCACAGATGCTCTTTGTTAGGCACCGATGGAAATTGTCAGAAAAGCGACTAGAGTGGTTGTTTGATGGAGTATTTTCCAGCTGAATTGATTGCGCTGGGTGTTAGACACTCAACAGTACTCTCACACCTTTCTGACAGCTGAAATGAACAATTTTTTGTGAACCGTGCATGAGGAGTATTGCGGTTTTGGCCCTGCGACAAAATGCTCCTACTGTAATTTTCAACAAAGGACCTGTGGATCGCCCGGGGAAGGAGTGTCCTTAACGTGTAACAAATTATTTTTCAAAAGGGTGTTGTTCAAAGGAAGCCACTGTTGTTTGAGCATCAAATTGCTACCTGGTGTTTTCAAAGTTCTCCGCTGTCCCCACCGTTCCTACACCGAGCTCATGATGGTGGAAAGGAATTAGTGGCACTCAGCTAGACACTACGGCCCATTGACGATGACAGCCCTGAGATATGTGACAAGCTTGCCATCCATTCGCTTTCTTCTCCTGCTCCCCTCATCTTACCCCTCTTTATCTTGTCTACTGCCTGCTTTCCATTTTCTTGTCATTCACCATTCCTGTTCTTTTTTTTTTTTCTTTCAATTTTTGTTCTGCTGCTCTCTGTTATCTTTTCTGATCTGTCTTTTTTTTTTTTAACCATTTGAATGCAACAGTGACAGTGTAGTGGGGCTCAACAACAGTTTGCCAACTTTGGCAAGTAAGTTGAGTCACCACAAAAAGACTCTTTTGCTTTTCCTAAAAATGTACTTTAACAGTGGCAGAGCGCTGGTAAATAACACATTTTCCTCCTATTTATGGTTGAAGGCTTACTGATATAACAGACAACAGATCTTAAACTGACATCTATCTCTTTCTTTCTTTCTTTCTCTTCAACATTAGCCAGAGGAGGATGACATGGTGTTAACCCCCGACGGTACACAGGAGTTCATGACGTATGAGATCCCCCTGAATGACTCAGGCTCAGCAGGCTTGGGTGTCAGTGTCAAAGGTAACCGGTCCAAGGAGAACCACGCTGACTTGGGCATCTTCGTGAAATCCATCATCAATGGAGGGGCTGCTAGCAAGGCAAGTACCTACTCCCTCCCACCTCCCCTCTAGCCATTACCTTGATGGATTGATTTCATTCACAGTTTTTGTTATAACTCAAGGACCTACATTTAAGTGCAAACATGAGTTGGAACACCAGGCTGCAGAGTTGAAGCCACACTGAAATAGACTGGAATCTGATTTGATGTCATTGTGATTTTCAAGTGATCACATGGTGTTCATGAGTGGCATGACTGCCATGTTATGAAGTAAGTCCTTGGGGCAGTACTGTTCAACAATATTTTTTATACTCCCTTGAAAAAAAGATAAATTTAAGTGTTCATGGATTCCAGTGGTTTGGGGCAGTTTGTCCTCCAAAGTCTAAAACTGGGGAACGATTAACACATTCAATCCTGTTCCTGATTAAATGCTTAGTGAAACAAGCCTATCATCTTGTCTCTGTGTTTATTGGAATTTTCCAGGAAAAATAAAGGGTACATGTGACTCCTGAAGCCAGTGGCCTAAGAGTTGCCTCAGGAGCAGCTGGAGAATGTTGTTCCTGTTCAAAACTTTTGATGACCTTATTTTATGAGGCACATCTAATTTTCCCATGATGGTGTTTGTCTGCAGGATGGGCGTCTACGTGTCAATGACCAACTCATTGCAGTCAACGGGGAGTCGTTGCTTGGGAAGACCAACCAGGAGGCCATGGAAACGCTGCGCAAATCTATGTCGGTAGAGGGCAACAAGCGAGGGATGATCCAGCTCATCGTGGCTCGGCGGGTGGCCAAAAACAATGAGGTATTCTAGCAGTCAGAGAGGAGTCGCACTGATGTGGCGCAGATTAATTGGCATCATGAGGACTCACTTTTAATTGGTCTGCTTTTAATATTTTGATCAGGAATTTTCAGTATGCTAATAATGAATAACCTTAAGACGGAGTGTGCGTTATGTTTCCTAGTAGGCTCTACAAAGAGTTTAAAACAACCACTAAGAATTATTTGCACTGTGATGTGATCCCATTCACTGTTGTCTTAAATGCAGCACACCAAGTTTGACTGTTATTCATCATGTTGGTTATGTAGCAGGTTTTTTTATTTCCTTTGTGGGCAGATTTTAGAAATTCTTCCAATACTGCGATAGTTTGGTTAGCTTCAGATGTCAGAATTGTTAAGTACAGATAGCTTATGTTAATGCTAAGCTGGATTAATCTATATAAAATTGTGCTGCACCTATAATAGTTGTGACATCCCTAGGGTTGGGCAATTGGGCCAAAAGATCATATGATGAGGTTTTAGGGTAGAATCTTGATTCTCAATCTGAATCACAATTCTCCCCACTGATTTAGCTGAACTTAAGCGATCTCATCATCAGTTTTGTATATACAGTAGGAGGCGCTTAACGTAGCACACACACACAAACTCAACACATGCATGGCTTAATGTAATGGAGGAAGTGAAAAGGTGGAGGACATATGGAATGGAGATGAGGGATAGCTCCATTTCAGCTTCACTGAATGATAAATGAGACTGATTTTCCTCTACCTTGCCACTGGCCCTAATCTATCCCCATAGGTTTTGAGAACTTTGAGATAGCTGGAGAAGGACCTTTATGAAGCGACCACACCACCATGCAAATCTTCAAACAGTCCCATTTCCTGTGCGAGATAGATGATACTGTGTCACATTTCCCCCCCTCATTCTCTGTGTGATTTTCTTTGCCCACGGTGGGCCTTGATATGATATCTAAGAAGCACTTCACTGAGTTATGATTGACAGCTCTGCCGAATAACACTGTAGGATGGGAAGATAAAAGAATATGTATCATGGCTTGGTGGATATTTGTCATAAGGTAACAGTCAAGAATATTGAAAGCGCTGGGATTTCAACTTCATGAAATGTCTATTGTGATGCTGACCTTATCCCAGCCTACCCTTTTTAAGAAACACAGCCTTTCCCATCGTGCGGGATAAACGGAGATGAATGCAGGAATGATTTAGGTGAATGTGAAATGCTACTGTATTTCAGGACTGTGTGAATGCATCCACACTCTCACGCGCGTTCAACTCTCCCTGCAGCCAGAGGTTGTAGATCAGGTTTGATTAGTGTTGCAGTGACTCTAATTGGAGCCTGTGTCCTGTGGCTGTGTGTCAGTTTGGAGTACCACGCTGAGCCCCCCATCCCTCCTCCTTCACTGCCCTTCACCCTCCCCGCTAACCCTCATCCTCCAAGCGCTCTGTCTTTCCCTCTTCTCACCACGCATCATCCCCCTGCGACCCTGTGCACTTGTTTTTCTTCTTGTTTTAATGTTAATTTTCCCCCCCTCAACTTGTGGTGCTCCATAGTTTAACAGGTAGAACACGGGATGAACACAGCCAGGGATTGGAGCCGAATGCATTTGAATGAGGCCTCTGCAGTGACCCAGCAATACAGTTGTGTTTTTAATCGCAGGGCTGTGCTCGATCGACACACCTTACTCTTTTCCTTCTGCCTTTACTGGTTTTTCCCTCTTCGCCCTCCTTCCCCCTCCTTCGCCTGACGAAGAGAGAGAGGACACATGTCCCTCCTGGGGAAGCTCAGCCCCAAGGTTCAGTGAGTTCTATCACTTGGGTCCAGTCACTCTCCTGTCCTCTTTAATCCCTCACCAGCAGCCAGACAGGTAGACAGACTGACACCAACCAGACAGTTATCTTCAGTCATCTGCAGGAAAAAAAAAGAAAACTTTCCTTTTTTTCATTATCACACCATCACTCAGCAGGTGAATCAGTATTTTTACATTAAGGTTTCATTACTTCTTCGATCCATTTAGAGACACAATTTAGAGTGAATTACGACAAGTTTGCATATAGCTTTATGTTTATATCAACATTAGTTGCTATGAGACAGCATGCCGGCAGTGTTGCATGGAAGGATGTAAAGAGAGTGTGTGAGACTACAGGAGTGGGAGATGTAATAGTGCATTTTAGATTCCATCCATCAAAGTCCCATTACAGGAAGTCCTACTTAGCTGTGTTTTCAGGAAGCTTAGTGATTTGAACAGGTGCCATAAAGTTACTAGAGGGGTATTTTAATATACTCACGGTAGAGAAACGATAAGATTGTAAATTGTAAGAATTTAAGGTCAGTGGCAAACCTCGAGTAAGAAAAGCAGAAGTTAAATGTCGACACAAGCTCCAGGCTGCTCCATTCGCCGCCCCTTCTTCTCCTCCTGCTCTGCTGTATTGGCCGGGCAGATATGTGGGGAGCCTGCACCAGTTTGCCACTGTCACCCAGCCGAATGGAAGTGAGCACTGGAGGCCACCATTGAAATGAATCAGATCCATCACTGTCTGCAGGGGAGAGAAGCCGAGCAACGCGGCCTAATGCATCGGGGGGTGGAGGGGAGGAGACAGGACTTCGATGGGTGCAGCACATCCAGGCCACCCCACTGAAAATTGCATTGATTTCATCATCACTTTGCTTAGTCCTCTGGGCTAAAGTAAGCTCACCTTCAGCAGCGTGATGGCTCTTGTTGGTTTTGGCGAGCCTGGTTGGGTGGGCGTTACTCCACCACACGTCACATCTTCTTCAACGTAATCTAACTGAAAATGTTGTAGCTGAAAAGATCCTGTAACACGTGGATACAAACATGAAGCACCTTAATTAAAATGTGAAATGCTCCATGTGGCTCTCTTTGTATGTCAGGAGTGTGTGACCGCCCAGAGTAGCCTCTTCACAGGCGCACACAAGCAAATGCATTACCTACAAACACACACACACAATTACACAGATTTCCCAAGGTTTCCCAGAAGTCCTTTTGCTTTCAGCAGGACCTGGGGCTTGATCCATCTCAAATGGAATCTCTCAGTAGCAAAGACAAGTGTTTTGTTGGGCGGGTTCAGACTGCTGATTGCCCATGATTAAGCCCATGTCTGAGGTGGAGAACTCGTTCTATTTTTACTGCTATGAAGCAGTGACTATGAGTGGCCTCTGCCTTGGGTTAAAATGAGAATTTTTTGCCAACCTTGGAATACAGGAAAAAAAAGGAAAACATTCAGCATGATTAAGGATGTATTCAGTTCTAACAAAGCAGTGTGGGGGCCTTTTTTTCATACGGCACAAACCTGGAAGGTCTTCATTCGCTTGATTCAAAATGGTGTGGACACTTTACTGCCCTTATCAGAGATTTAAAGAATCAGTCTCAGTTGGTAGAAAAGGACTCATTCAACTAGGTCACAGGATGGCACTTCCAAGCACAGAATCAAAAGCAACAAGTCAGAAACGCTGGTCAAACTTTTCAGATACGCTGCAGAATGTCTTAGGAATGAGTGCTGATACCAACACTTTCTAATACGTCTCATGTGCAGAAAACGTTTTGAATGCAAGCACAAATACCAACAAGCACACACTCTACATTCAAATACTCTGCCCCAGAAGTACACTTTTTTTTCTCTCTCTCTGTTCTGGCTCCACAGATAGCCCCTGCTTGAAAAACTACCATTCTGCCCCAGATAGTCAAGCGATATGATTGGTCACTGCCAATTTGTTTGAAGCATTGTAATTGCATCGCTTCTTCAGAGACTGTATAATTTCTCCTTCTATATCTGAGTTCTATTAATATATCGTCACATGTGTTTAAGCAATTAAATTCATGAAAAGTCATTTCAATTCCATTATTTTCTTTTTTTTTCTTCCTCCAACCACACTTCCTGAACATTCTCCATCTTCCGTATTTTCAGCGCAGAGACCGATCCTCGAGCTGCAAACCCAGAGTCTTGTGACTGAATCGGATGTTACGGTCATTTGGTTGTTCGGCATCGTTGTTCGAGTTGTTCTCAAGCTGTCAACCCTCCACTTTTGATGCTGCGTTAAAAAATTACATTGAATTTATTGAATTATTTGAACTCTGATGTCTCATTGTTTCATCACATGACTTGAGGACACAGTCATGTCTTTTTGGACTCACAGAAATGTTAACGATGACAATAACTACGCATGGATAGATGGAAGAACCTGCACTCACAATTTGCTTGGAGGTAATTTCCTTGCAGAAAAAGGGAAAGCTGTGCAAATCGTAGCACAAATGTACAACTTTGTAATAAGTTGAGGTGAGAGGTTGGCTGCATGCAAAGTCAACGTGGGGCAGGAGTTGCTATGAGGACAAACAGGCCGACTAAACAGTTTATGTGAATGTGATATTGAATGCACTCTTTTGTACTCTATCTGTCCTCATCTTGACTGTGGCTAGAACTGAAAAATTGACCATTACATGGGCAGAACAAAGATATCACAAGACCTCATCAGAACTCATTTCAGTACAAAGAATATTATTATGAAACTACAATAGCAGCTAATGTGTGGAGATTTAAGGTTATATTGTGCCAGCAAAATTAACTGTATTATATATCTGAGCATATAAAACATGCATCAATTCGCCTCTCATTTTTAGCCTGTTTAAGAACTTTGACACATTGGAAGATGGGTTTTTTTTTCTGCCTTGCAACAGCCGTAGCAGTTCATGATATTACCAAGATATTTATCTCACGAGCGTCTTAAAGCAGACAGGCTGATGATAAGCATGCATGTGGCTGGGTTTCATTCCTCTGATTTGAAATTCATCACACGGCATGCACTCACACCTCTCTGTGCATTTGTGATGTTATTTATGACGGAGATCTCCTGCAGACATCGACTATTTTTGACAGACTGGCAGCCTTGTGGTTTTTTTGTTTTCCTTCTTGACAGCTCTACCGCAACTTGCCAGTGAAACTCCGCATTAATCACAGCTACAGAAGCATATTTCCACCAAAATGCTTCACCACA